CCCTACACCCCATGTCCAGACACATTTGGGGACGGAACTCTAAAAGCCCCATGGACCCTCACAGGAACTGGTGCAAAAGCAAATTCTTCAGTCAGAAAAGCCAAAGTCTTCACACCCCAAAGACCCAGGACACAGCCATGCACCCCCTCAGGGTCAGCTGATCAGAGAGGCTGATCAGCTTTGTCTCTGCTATAGCACAAAGACATAGGGGTCCATTTTTCCAGTAAGCCAAGAAGCTTGAGGAGGAATTATACAGTCTCATGAATATCATAGTGCCAGTCTGTCCAAAAGCATACTAACAGGAAAACCACAGCATAAGTGGACACTATGTATGAAGCAGTGGTATCCAAAATCTGAAAGAAAACACTTGACACTTCCAAAGACTCCAGGATTTCCTAGGTGTCCTAGGAAATTTCCTACATTTTCCAAATTACCCCGCAGTTGCAACTTGGCAAAGAACCTCTCTAGAAACAGTATGGGACAATGAGTCTAGTTCTAAGGATCAAAAAGCCCAGGGAGGGAAAGATTTTGTGGATATGGAAAATGGTCCAGTAAAATTAATATATGGTCACGTCTACCAATAGCCTACATAGATTCGGAGAGGCATCAGTCCTATCATGAAAAAGCATGACCTGGGCATTACTCTCTTGTCATCAAGCATTTAACACAACACACAGACAACCTGAAGTATGAGCAACTCATAAACTCTTTAAGGAGAAAAACAGCCCCAATTTTTTTTTCCTGTGCTAGTTTTGTTTGAAAAAAACCCAAAGTTTTAAAATTCTGCCCCTGTGTAATCTTTTGTTAAATAAAAACCAAAGCCTATTTTTTCAGTTCTAGGTTATAATGTGTGTTAGTCCCCACTAATTTGATTGACTGATATCAAAACTCATCCCTTCCCCTCCAAGTCTCCCACCAAGCTTAATCAAGTTTTCTTTCAAACAAGTAAAGCAAAAATATGTGTAATTAACATCACCAAAAGCAATAAAAGAATAATCAGTAAAGTGTAAATTTCTACCTCAATAGAATCCAATTGAGAGGTCAAATTCTGTCTTCAGAAAGTTGTGCTAGGGTATCTGAGTACAGAATAGAAATGAAGCTGGGATGGTTGGTCAAAGTACAATATCACTCACAAGAAGAACCAAGACAAGGAAACCTGACTCAGCTTCCTTCAAAGAGCAGCTGACCCTGTTCTTCAGAGTCAAGGCTGGTAAAGAACCTCTTGAATCAAATAAACTTTGATCTGGAACTATCTGGAGGATCTTCCCCTTGGGCAAAAGGGCCATGAGGAACAAAGCAAGAAATGTTCTGAAGGGAGAAAAAAAACAATGGTCCATGCTCCATTGCCAGAAGACTTTTAATTTACTGTTTATGCTATGCTATACACTGCAAGAAGAGACAATCTACGCTGTATATCACTGAAGAGTGTCCCAGTCAAAGAATAAAGCAGATATGTGTAGAAAAGCAATATTAAGGATCAGTGGTTACCCCCCCAACACTATTTTTTGCTGGCATTAAATTAAAGTTGGCTGAGAACAAAAATTGCCATACCAAACATTTTTTTTTCCTTTCTTCTTTGTTGAAATTCAACATACAGACGAGCATTTTCACTGAAATTTCGAAATGTAATATCTTCCAACAGTGAAGAAACACCAGCACCTGAGATTGATGGAGTCCAAAATACATATAAAAAAAGAAAAAAATGTAAATAATGGAGCAAATATAACCCACCATTTGTACGTGGAATTCATCTCCGATCGAAGAATCAGCAAAAGACCTCTGCATACCCAGTCAACACGCTCAAAACAGAATTTCAAACATATGTAATCTTCAAGCTGGAGAATCTCATGAGATGCTAATTCCTTAATAATTACCGTAGAAAGAGCAGGATTTTCTTATATAGGCCACATAATTCTAAGCATTAATCACATTTCCC